CCACGAAGGCATCCATCCCCTTAGGCAGATAGCCCCAGTGTGCTTTGTCATAATTAAATAAACCAAAACCTCTTGAGGAAACCAGTCTTTCCTTTTATCTCATACCTTCAAAATGCTTAGCCTCTAAAGACTGATAAAGGCTCTGATGAAATGGATTGAATTGGATTATTAAGTTACGGCAAAGCAGATGCCTTCATGAAGAAATTTCTAAGGGAAACCAGTTGGCATACATGTTACACATGAGAAAATCCACGAAAATGCCCATGCAACCAGCCCGTTTAAGAGGATTTGAAACCCAGAGTTAACTACCAGTGTTCAGCGACTTTACCTCTCGGCCGTTTGTGGGGCTTTGTGAAATGGAAGGCGATAACTTTATTTAAAATGGTTGTCAGAAATACCAAGATGTTTCGAAAAGTTGGATGCTTTTTAATATACTTGCAGAATGCTTAAAGAAAAAGAACATGAATGAAGCAGAATGCCTGAAGAAAAAGAGGAGAAAAAATAAATTTTTGCATAAAATTTAGTATTTGTACTTTTTTTTTAATTTAAAACTTTTTAATCTTATGCTATTTGATTCTTGCGATTTAAAAAATAAAATATTTGAATAAAATATGAATAACATTTTAAGAAGCCAAATGTAGGATAAAATTGTGTAAAGCAATGGGCACAATGATAAAACGGTTTAAAGCAGTGTATGCGAGTCATCCTAAGTTAAAATGTCGGTTATACATTTCTCTTATTTATATATATATATCTTTTCTGAACGGACATTGAAAGACGTGTTAAGTTTGCTTTGCTATATTTTCTTTCTTAATATATGCAGTTTTCAAATGCATCGTAGTCTGGGTTACGAAGTATTCCGAAAGAAACGCAATTCAAATAAATAAAATCAAATTCTGGAAAATTTATATTAATAAATATATTTAAAATGCTGAGTTTGAATGAATAAATAGAAAATTTTAAAATAATTTTCTGAAGAGACAATGCAACACTAACAATTAAAAGAAAAGTCTAAAAATTTAAAAATTACCTAAAATAGTAACTGACTAAACATATAGTATAAAGAAAACTATTTGGGGAAAAAAAAAGTTGTGCCTTTGATTTAAACTACGCAGTTCAAATGAGTAAATAGAAAATTTTAAAACGGTTATTCGAAAAAAGCTATGCAACGTAAACAATTAAAATAAATTCGAAAAAGAAAAAAATTGCTTAAAATTAATAACAATTATAATTAAAAATATAAGATAAAGAACATTATTTGAAAGAAGGAACGATTGAGTCTTTTTTTTCCTCTCATGCACTATGTAAAAATGAAAATGAAAATAGGTTGCCACATATTAAGAAGTTCGTCAAGTGAACTAATTTTGATGCAAACTGAATAAAAAGCGGCAACATAAATTGTTGAATTTCTCCGTAAATTTCGCACCAAATTTTACAAAATTTAATATTTAGGCATAATTTGAGTCGTAGAATCGAAATATGTAAAAAAAATTGGTATGTTATTTCAGAAAAAGGCCTATTTTGTGTCAAAATACCTATGTTAGAATAGTGCTATATATAAATCTAATATATATCCTAAGTCGCGCTTTTGAGACATGAAGAACGCAATTTGAATTTCGTGAATTGGCCCAGTAGAACAGGAGATGTAGAGCTGTCGCATTTGTTTTTTTTGAGCAGTGTATATAGAACCGATGATAGCTTGATAAAATTTATTTTACCAAATGGAATACTTTACAGTTCTTTCCACAAAAATACTTGTACAGCACTTCTCAATATCACAGAGCACAATCAGTAGCTACATTCAGACTACTAAGAAGGTTAAACACAATGCAATGCAAAGCTCTGAACTAACAACTGAGAGCAGATGCTGACTCCGGTCTTATATAATTTTCATCCGGCTGCCAAGAAATCTCTAGTACCTTCCATTTCTCAAAATTACCAGAAGGAATATGTAGTTAAACTTACATCTAAAGACTCCATATGGTTACAATTATGTATAGGGACCAGTTACAGTATCAATTAGCTATACAGGGACTGGATCAAAACATTGCCAAATGGTTGCTAAGTTCGGCAATTTTTCGTGGTTTCTCCCCAAATTTGGTGATAAAAATTAGTCACCAAAACCATCACCAGCTTAGTGATATTTTGCGAATTTAGAGAAATAGCAATTTACTTAATGTTAAATAGATTTGCCACCTGACAGAGCTTTGTTTCTTTCAGCTTTTAGAATTGCTGCCTCGAATTTCATGACATACACTAAAGCACTTTTTATATCCTTGATATCTGCATTCGTATGGCTTTCTGCATCTCAGGATCCCAGATGCCATTGATGAAGCATTGCAGGAACAGGATTTCCTTTGTTTCTGATAGGCAATCCAAAAAGGCGAGATTCCAAACAGCCTTTCAACATCTTTGGTGAACTCTTGGAATATGTCCATGGGCTTCTATAAGTGAGATTTTAACTGAAGCCTATAATCATTTGAACACTTCTCACCAAAACACAGCTCCAGCATGCTGGTTAAAGTCTCCAAATCAAGCCTTAGGTTTTCGGGCAGAGTTTGGAGGATATCCGCTGCTCGTGCTTCGAGAAAAGTGGCGAGATGGCAGGCCTTAGGTTTGGAATCCCATTGATTTGCATTTGCTACTATACAAAGTTGCATACTATTCTCTTGCCAGAAGATCTTTCCATCATATGTAAGTAGCTCTAGAGACAGACGGGATGGCATATGTTACAATTTAAAGGCATTAGAATTGTGAACAGCTGTCATTATGGGTTACTTTAAACTGTCAATTTCCTTGGTGATAGCAGCAGCAACTCTGATATCAGTTTGTTTTTGACAGTAGAAACTCTTTCTTGAATTTCTCCAACTCTACTTTCAATAATGTCTAGTCTACCTTCCATAGCCTCAAATTTGTTTTCTATGATGGCAGAAATTTTTCTTTTCATTTCCTCTTGACCTGTTTCAGTCTTTTCTTAGCCTATTTTCATCTCTTTTTTAATGGAGTTAAGGGCTCCTTCTTTTTTTTTTTTTTTTTTTTTTGAGCACACTTTCATATCTTCTTTAATAACCCCTTCCATCTTTTCTTGGCCCAATTTCATCTCTTCTTTGAATGCTGTGAAGGCTATTACCAGCTGTCTTAATTGCTCGTTCATTGCTCTTATCAATGGCATTTAATCTCACTTCTAACACCAAAAATTATTGTGTGTGTATGAGTTCATAATGTAATGAATGCTCACAGAGCTGTTGATAGATTGATAAAATTTATTTTACCAAAAGGAACACTTAACAGTTCTGGAACATTCCTCAAAAACACTCATAGAGCTGTTCTCAGCATCACGAAGCATAATCAATAGTTACATTTCAAACTACTAAGAACTTTAAACACAATGCAAAGCGAAGCACATCTAAAAGGCAAAGCTCTCAGAGATATCTCAGTACTGCGAATTCATCTCTGAACTAACAGCTGAGGGTAGATGCTTTCTCCGGTGTTATATGATTTTGACTTGACACCGAGAAATCTGTAGTACCTTCCATTTCTCTAAGTTACCAGAAGGCATATACAGTTAAAGTTACAAATAAGGGCTGGATACGGTTGCAGTTACATATAGGGATCAATTATAGTTATTCAGTTGCAGTATCAATTAGTTATACAGGGACTGGACCGAAATGTCACCAAGTTTGGCGACTTTTCGTGATTCCTCATCAGATTTAGTGACAAAAATTAGTCTCCAAAACCATCACCAGCTTGCCGATGTCTTGTCAATTTAGCAAAATAGCCATTTAGTTAATATTAAAGAGAATTGCCCCTGTAATTTTATTTTTCCGTCAGAGCTTCATATCTTTCAACCATTTTATGTTATATTATCTAGAAAATACTATAATTTCACTAAAATTATTTACATATGTACAAAATTCCATAGCATTATATTAATGTTATAGTGTATTGAGTATGATGGAAGTATATAGCTTATATATCATGTATGGTAGAAGTGTATGCATATATATAGGTAAAATAAGGCATGGCTAGACTTTCTGTGTTAAATTCAGCGGTAACCCTGCTAAGATTATAAATATAAATTTTAATTATTGATTTCAGTTATACCCTAGGAAATGAAGAGAAAATAGGAGTAATAGGATATTTATTAAAAGTTGATTCCTTAGAAAATTGAGATTTAGCTATGGAAAATACAACTTAGTCAAAGTATTAAATTTATTCAAATGAATAATAATAATGCAAGAAAACAAAAAATAATTTGAAGAAAATTAATTCTCTGATTATTGGTGATTTTGTGAAAAAAGACAAATTCCTCTTGAATAGTCAGCTGTCTGTTATGGGATCAACAATAATTAATATTTTTTGTATTTTGTGTTATTATTATTAATTCTTATATAATTTAACAGTTCTACTAAGTTTTATTTTCCATAGATTAATCTCAGTTTTCTAAGGAATTAACTTTTAATAACTGTCCTATTACAGTAGATTTTCTCTTCATTTCTTAGGGATAATCGAAACTAATAATTGAAATTTATAAAAGAATCTTATTAGTAAGTGAAACTTACATTATTAAATACTTCCTTTTAAACTAAGGAAAAAACTTTTTAACTTTTTTAACTTCTTTTTATAAGAAAATTTTGATTATACATATTCCAATATCTCACACTTTTTTATAAATTTGCATTTAATTTCATAAATACATAGAAAATACGTTTGTCTGTTATTCATGTTTATATTAATTATAGAATAATTATGCCCATGATATTTTAATTATTTATATTAAAACAGACATAAGTAAATTGAGTAAAGCTTTAAAATAAAAAATAAAAATAAAAAAAATAATAATAAAAAAAAAAAAACCCTAATATATCTTTTTTTTATTTAAAAAAATGAAAGTTTTTCATTCTAGTATCTTCTTTTTCATTTAACAAAATGAGAGCTTTCAAGAAAAAGTTTCTTTCTTAAAACATTTTTATCCTCTTGTTTTTCATATTTGTTTATAGAATACTGTATTCTTATGTATATGGAGGAGAATTTCCTGTGTCACTGGATATATTCAATTCAGTAAGCAGACTAAAAAAAAATTTGACCATAAATGTAGTAGATGGTGTTTACCAATCACCTATTGTATGGATTGATGAAAATTCAACAGACAGTGAAAATCCAATCAGGGTAAGTTCTTTTTTCAATACTGTGTCTGATATTTCTTGCAATCTATTTAATTATTATTTAACATTGCTTTTTCTGTTAATCTAAAACATTTGTTTTCTGCATTGTTCTCTTAAATTCTTTTAAATATATTTTTCATTTTCTAGTGCATCTTTTAATATTTTTATGCTTTCCCTGACTACATGAAGTTTATTTTCATTCTTGTTCTTTTTTGGAAAATTATTTTTTTTAATAATTTTGTTTTGGTTTAGCGACAAAGAGGCTATGATTTTAGATTTGAGACAACAGCTATTTTCAGAGACAATGAATCTTACCTTGCATCTCACCTGTGGAATGTGTTTAAAATTACTGATTCTGGTGCTGAGGAGGAAATTGATATCACAGAATTAAAAACACACAATTGTTCTGCCATCAGAGTGACCAAACGTTTTCTTGATATTGGACTTTATAGGTTTAAATATACTTTAACTGTCTATGGTAAGTTGCTTTAATCTGTTACCTAATTAACTATTATAGATTAATTTTCATTTTTTTTGTAACAATGTATTTTGATGTTAATATGATTTTTATAATTTCTCTTAAGCAGCAGTCTTAAGATTGAATTGTAAATTTTAAGCTGTATTGCTTTAATTAATATTAGTTTTCATGGTTATGCATACTGTTTAGGAAAGATAGCATGTCTAAATTTCAATTGGACTGACTGTAGACCACCTCAGAAGTAACTGTAGACACCTCTTTTGAAAATCTCAACTTTTCTAAAGAAGCTCTCGATTTTCCCAAGCATAAATGGTGTATCCATCCAGCACGGATCAAGACTTGTGAATGGAATGACAATCTTCCATCTAATAAAAGTTACGAAGTATTCACGGATGGATCGAAAAATGATGAAGGCACAGGAGCAGGATTCTGTGTCTATTGGAATGGCATCCTAGAAGCTGAATACTCTTTTCAACTGGACCAAAATTGTTCAGTACATCAAGCAGAAACACAAGCGTTGAAATCACCTCTACAATGGCTAAAAGATCACAAGTATAAAGCCCATTTATACACGGATAGCCAAGCGGTGTTAAAATCATTGGCAAAGTTCGACATCCTAAACTCAGAAATCATCGAAGTTAAAAAGCTCGTTTATTGTACTAAAGCAAAATTGCACTGGATTAGAGGCCATCGCGGCTACAGCGGAAATGAGAAAGCAGACGAACTTGCTAAAAAAAGAATATCTTCTGAAGTGAAAATTGATTGTAAAATTCCACTGAGTACTATTGTACGTAAAGCTAAAGAACAAGCTCTTCTTTTGTGGCAACGTCGATGGCAAGAAGAAGAAACCGGTAGATCAACCTTCAAGATTCTTCCTAGAATTTCTGAGAGAAGACACTTCAATGATTTCTTCATTAACCAAATTCGTACTATCGAATCACAGAGCATTTCCCTGTCCCTATTCAATCTGAATTGCTTTATGTGTTATTAATTATTATTTCTAGTGCCAATATATAAATTATTACTAAATCTAGTTACAAATATTAAGTTTTCAAGATCAAGAATCCACCAAGTCGCTGTTTATGTGGATTAGAAACAGCAGGCGCACTACATATGATTCTAGACTGCCCGAGCTTGGACAGCAAAAGAACGGAATTATTTCCACAAACTCTGAATCTCGACCTATTATGTAAATTAATATTATTAGAAATGGTCGTCACCTACTTTCCAAATTAATGGAATATTTGTATTCAAATGAAAATACAATATATGTTTAACAATTGATTATAATGGCTGAATAATGTTTATTCAACTTTATAAATTGTATCTTCTTAATATGTTTAACCCTATACTATGTATTTTGTTCCAAATGTAACGAACTTTATACTTATATTCTGACTAATGGTGTTTGCATAATATATATATGTATTTTATATCCTACATTGATGTATAAATTGATAATTGTATCTTTGTATTTTTCTTTAATAAAGATGTCGGCGAGGTCAATACATCTTCTAGTTAGTGGACCTTGAAATTTGCTAGGATTTAAATTTCAAAAATTTGTTTAATAAATATATCTTTAGCTTTTGCTGAATCTTTAAATTAATTTAGCCTATGGCTCCGGTGATACCTCAATGAGGTGAGGACTGGATATTCCATTCTTATGTTGTAGACCACATCAGACTAAGAAATAAATGTGATGATTTTGGTCACATGACATTTTTCTTAAAAGTATAAGGCTTAAACTTTTATATGGTGTCCATAAGAAAAAAATATAATGTGAAGAATGTTTTCTGTAGCAAATTAGTCAATTAAACAAACAAAAACCTTGCCTATTCAATCTGAATTGCTTTATGTGTTATTAATTATTATTTCTAGTGCCAATATATAAAATTATTACTAAATCTAGTTACAAATATTAAGTTTTCAAATGTGAATTTCTAACATGTACCTCTTACGAATTTCTAATAGACGCTAAAATTTCAAATTTTATGTATAAAATGATTTTATGCATTGATATACGGTACCCATCTTTTATTAAAATCATTTTTGTTCCAAACATATATGAGTTTATTAAATGGCTGAGATTAATAGACTGGGATTTGTGTTTTGCAAAGTGATATCAGTTTTAAACTTGTAGGGTTCTGCTATGGCTAAGCTTGTCTTAGTGTCACTGCAGAGCTTATTAGTCTGGGAATCATATTATTGCTTTAGTCTGAAGCAATGACTCAACATAAGAATGTTGCAAATAACTTTTATATTTGTGATTATATTTCTCATTGTATTTTTGCAACCTATGTGGCAACACACTTTTTAATTTTTTGTGGCAACAGTTTTTTTTTCAGCAATTGTTACCATAGATTATTTACCATATATATTTTTACCATGATTTTTTTGCATACTTAATATAAATATATATGTTAATACAGGTGATATTTTTATTTTTTTCTGTCCATTCATAATGTTAGATTCTAACAAAAAAGGTTAAAATAATCCTTTTATTTAGCTTTTAAATGAACAGAAGGCACTGCCCATGGGAGAAAGGAATTTCTGCTAGGGTTGTATTTAAATTAAAGTTAAATTTAAACATAGGTGGAGACTACACACACAAGAGACTATTTAAGCTGGTTCAAGGTAATTAGCAGCATGCATTTTAAATATTGTCTAGCAAGATGCTAAAGCCGGAATACCTTTGGCAGAGCTGACAATAGTAAGTAATATCAAGGCAAAGCAGCCAGAAGTTCTTACTGTAAAACATTCAAACCCTTGGCTTAAATACACAACTTATTTGCATTCTGGAGAGGGCTATGGAAATAAAAGTTAAAATACATGTTGAACTCATAATAACTGTTTAATTAACATAAAATCCTACAAAATTTTTAAGTAAATTATTTATAATTTATTATTATTAAGTAACTAACAACTAATTCATTAATTAATCCTATAAAATAATAATAAAAAATTAATACTAAAAGGAAGCTATTTATGCAATTTTGAAATTCATTTGAAAAATTTTTTATAATTACATTCTTGGTGAAAATTTCTCTTACAGCAATTATTTTATATGTGTTCATTTCATATTCTTCAAGAACAGTTTTTCAACTGCATTCTCAATTTCAAAGAACTGCTGATGGCTTTTTCAATGAACACTTTTTATTTCAAGAATTTTTCCTGGAATTTCCAATTATTTTCTAGATTTGATGGATGGCAGCATGCCATTACTTTCTATGTATCACCTTTTGTTATCAGTTTCTATTGTTCTTTCAATACTTTCGCAGTCACTTTTTATACAGGTTATATCAATATTGTGAAATGACATATAATTATAAAAATGAATCCTCATAATTTCCCTCACTGATATCTGAAACATTAGCTGTAGTTTGCAATTCCTCTTAAGGTTCTTCTAAGTAAAAGCCACTATTTTTCTAAAATAGTTTGTAACAGATTTTAAGAGATTGAGCCCTATATTGACTATATAATACTCAGTATAGAGGCCAATGCAGGACTGCTAGTCAGTGCATATTGCAATATTGTTGTCAATGCATATTGCACTCAATACAAGTTGTCAGTGCATATTGCACTCAATGCAAGTTGTTGTCAATGAATTTTGGACTCAATTATAGTAAATGCATAACCTCTAGCAAAGCTATCAACTTACTTATCTCTTTCAGAGTGCTTATATTTTCACAAAATTCAATACTGTTCATCATTTAGCTAACAACTTTTCTGTTTTGACATTTAAAAGCTTTTATAATACCTTAAATTTAGGCTTGCCATTTTGACATGTTACAAGTTAAGCAGAGAGTAAATTAGAAAAAGTGTTTCTTCCAGTGATTTTTTTTCCAATTTCAAAATTAACATTTTTAGTCAGCAGAGAGATTGCCCTTTATCTGTTCAGTCTGCCATTCCATCATTATAAGCATGACTAATGTTTTCCTTCCTTTTTATGCAGTCTACAGTTACCACTTCCTTTCTATTCAAAGACTCTTAATGTACAATAATGCGTAGAAGCATTTTCATTACCTTTTTTATATCTATCTGTGTGTGTGCCTGTATGTCCCAAAAGGGCAATTTTGAGTGTGGAAACTTTCAAAGCTGGAATACAGAAGTTGCATTTCTGCCTCTTATTAGGTGGTACAGATGGGATACTTTATCATTTACAGTGTCTCTAGAGAATTAATTTTGTTAACCTCAAGATATGAAAACTGTGCTTTTCTGAAGTCCATTGTGGACAAAGGACTCTGGAAACAATGTCTCACAGGTACAGAGACCATAGTGGACAAAATTTCAATCAAACCCTTTTTATTGAAGCACTATATTTAAATGATAAAACCATGGTCCACAATCTGTTAAATGATGAACTACAGAAAGCTTTGATAGGTGCAAGTTGGGTAATCTGGTACTGAAGAATCACTCTTTTGCCAATCTTAATTTAACCCTTTGGCCTATAACTAAGAGTCTGACTCGTGGTAAAGAATTTGTGAAATAAACAAAAGCCACGAGTCTGATTCATGGTAAAGAATTTGTATCATCAACAAAAGCCACGAGTCACTTGTGGTAAAGAATTTGTGTCAAACAAAAGACATGAGTCTGACTTGTGGTGAGGAATTTGTGCATAAAATGCTGCATATTATTAGAACAAGTGATTAGAGTTATTCTACATAAAATATTTTTTCCTTTGATTGTAACTTCAGTATTTTTTTTTTTTTTTTAAAGTTGTTTCTGATGAAACTGAATGATCTGTTACTTTAGTTCCCCCATAACACTTCGTTTAAAATATGATTACACTCTAGACATCTTAAAATTTCTAATTGTACCTAAAAATTGTTTATTATTTCACAATTCCTTTCGTTACACTGAAATATATATGTCATGAAAAGTATACATTTTGCGGGTACATGGCTGGACAGTTGAGTGACACGGCGCGCGACTGACTTTCTTGTTTACTATAGGTGCACAATTGGCAGATGTTGTGTAGGCCAAGGGATTAAGAAAGAGTGGAGTTGAGTTTAATTAATCTGTAGTTTTTCGATTGATTTGTATAAAATTCTTTTAGTTCCTGGAAATTTTAACATAATAAGGGACTGAGTTTATTAACCAGTGAGTTTAGTAAGCAGTAGGTAATGTATCATATGAACTGTTTTTACATATTAAAAATTAAAATTTTTGCCTTTATTTTCAAGGAAAAGTGGTTTAGATCATATAAGTTTGATATTTTTGAGGGTCAGATCTATTTGATATAGTATCAGATTTCTTTTTTGAAAGATCTTTAATTGCATATGGTGTAATTTGTAAATTGAAGCTTTTTTTACAGAAGGCCTGTATAAATGTTTATGTTTAGTATCGTCTTACTTAAGTATATCATGTGAACAGAATTATTGCAGATTTTTTGTAATTTCTTAAACTGGAGGAATGGTGAAACAACTAACAATCAATATTTAGCTATACAAACTTTTTGAAACAACTTCTGAATAGCCTTTTAACACAAAGACACGAACAATATCTTTTTATAAAGTATTTTAAATGAGAAAAGCATTCTAATGAAATATTCCAAATGAAAAACTTCAAAGAATGTTTTCTAAAATTAGTTTACTGCATTCTTTTGTGGCTAGTGAATCTGATTGAGGTAATTTTCGGTAATAATAAATGTCAGTTTAATGTGAATTGAATTGAATGAGAATGTGATTGGGAATAGTTTGATATAATTTATGTGGCATGTAAATAATCTTTTATAATTAGAAAACTCTAAATTTTTTTTTATCAGTATTAAGAACTTACAGAAAAGACTGGTTAGTTAAGTGATTATTTTGTAACTAAAATCAAATTAGCAAAATTCTTAGTTTATTAGATTTATTGTTATTTGTTGGGCATTAAAATGTGTATTTAAAAAAAAAAAAAAAGAAAGAAAGAAAGAAAGAGAAAAAAAAAAAAAAAAAAAAAAAAAAAAAAACAGAATGAGAAAAATATTGGTCATAAATATTGGTTCTGTTTTAAGAAATAAATCAAGTAAAGATACAGGAAGTTTAAATTCTTGTAAAATTTAAACTTTGTGAAGTTTTGTGATTTAATTCACAAAGCAAATGATTTAATTCACTTTCACTTAAACAGCCTCAACATGCTTTACTGTAAGAAAATCACATATCTAATCGTACTTTACTAAAGCTCTTTTAGAAAACACAATCCATATTGTACAGGTATAATGCACAGGAACAATTCATAATGTACAGACATTTAAGAAAAAGAGTTGAAATTACTTTTTTAATCTGAACTTTCTGAATTCACATTAAAAATGTTAAATTACATAATGTAAATTGTTTTTGCCTTATTAACATAAGTACAGTCAAACTCTGTTATAGTGAATCTGGTTTATAACGAATCCCTGAATATAAGGAATTAACATTTTGGTTCTTGTCCAATAAATGTTGCTTTACTTATTTAATGTTATTTTATATGACTCTAGAGAACTTCCATATGTATAAAAATGGATATAACAAACTTTATGGTTATCTTAGACTGAAAAGCAGTTTGCCATTCTCACTTCTTTTCTTTCTTTTTTTTCCTTCTCTCTCTCTTTCTTTTTTTTTTTTTTTTTTTTTTTTCCCCCTCCAGAATTTTTGCAACTTTCAGCTGAAAAGCTGCTAAGCCTCAAATTCATCCTGTTTAAGTTATTAAAATAAAAAAATAGCTTTAGGTTACAATTATTTTTTCTTTATCCTCAACTTTCTGTGTGTTCTAAACAAAAGGCTATGCCAGATAGATATACCACTTAATTCTCAGGGACTCAGAACACTTAATAACCTATCTTAGGAGATCCTACTGTGTCATGATTGCTCCAAAAAACTATTGATCCTTGGAAACAAAGAGCTTGATTCAGTTCTTTGATTTTGATTGAGCTGTCAGAGAGCAATCTGTTCAAGGCTGATGCTTATTCATGATCGAAATGCGTATTTTAGATGAAAATGTATAGGGAAGTGTCACAATCATGACACTTATGCTAGGTAATTTTGTTTGCAAAATTATTAAGTCATGGTAAAGTTGAAAAACAGTAAGAAAGAAATTTAGTAATTGCATGCAGTAATAATTGCAATTAATTTTTATTTATTTATTTAAATTAACGTTACTATGTAAATCTTTTGGGAGATGTGACAATGTTACTTTCCCTCTCTGTGTGATTCATCAATCATTTTTTTTATATTATTTTGTGAAATGATCTCTTTTTCCTTGTCTCAGATTGGTTATAGTGAACCAAATGTTTGGTCCCTTGAAGTTTGTTATAATGGGGTTGAACTATATAAGTACAATGTTAAATCTAATATAATTTATTATGCCTTTGAATTAGATGAGGAAGAAGAGGTGGAGGAAAAAGAACAAGAATCAAAAGAGGAAGAATATGTGGATGATTTTTACATGTCTAGACAGAATGATGATGAAGAAGAAGAATATGAAATATCTTTTGAGAATCGGACTGTGCTTGGAAAACGCAGTGTTTCTTCCTATGTCGAAATCATTCCAACTCCTCTTATCCCAATGCTGCTAAGTGGTGGAGCTTCATATATAGTTCGAGGTTTTGGCCAATCAATAATGTTGGAACCTACAGTTTTTACTGAAGATCCTGATTATCCTGATGAAAAGGTATATAATTCAATCCTGATGAAAGGTTTCAACAAAAAGGAAAGTCTAACTTGAAATTCTAAATATGAGTTGAATAACGCTGATGTGTATAACATTCTATCACAGTGCTAAAGTGCTTGACAGTGTGTGATGTTATTACTGTTTCCATTTTACCTCTTTATTTGTAATGATGGGTGGGAAGATGGCACATTTGTTTTATATAATAAATACTTGAAAAAAATCCTAAAAACATTTAAATTAGAAGCATATGCAACATTCTGAAATGATTTGACTAAAGTATAGTTCTAAGGAATTTAGAAATGAAATGCTTGATACTATTATGTACAATATACTTTTAAAAGTTAGAACAATCACAAATAATTAGCTTTTGGTAAAATTAATAAACTTTGTTGCACTTATACAACTTTATATTTGAAATTATAGCCACTGAGGATGTTAATCACTTGTATTGAAACTGCTTTTTATTTAGCATTAAGATCTTTATTGCAAATTTTTTAATAACATTAATTTCAAGGATTATAAATTGTATGAAAATGAGTATATTTTGGATGTATATCCTACTTTATTACTTGTTTGTAAAAAAATTATTTTGTCTTTGTAGTAAACTATTTTCCTTAATGCATATTATAGTTTCTCTTAAGCATGTAGAACTGAGTTCTATTAATTTAAAATATGGAATTCACTTCTGTGTACCAATCAATAAAATCAATTATCTTCTGAATACAGTATTTAAAGAAAATTCTTAAAATGTTAGCCAAATGGATAAGCAGAAGTTAAACTCCAGTCCAGCGGCAGTTTTTATCATTTTGAGGTGATTCAATAAATAGATCAAGATTTATAGGGGGGACTCTTTTCCTCTGTTTAAAGATAAAGATTTAATTGCTATGTAATGTTGATGATTGTTCATGTTTTATTTATTTATTTATTTATTTATTTTTTCATTTTATAATTTAATTTTGTGATGAGTTTTTAACAAGCAGCATGCAAAAATATTCAATTTGCTATTGAGCAGGAATTGTTACTGATTGTTTATAATGTCCTAAAATAAGAGACTAGTATTTAAAAAGATGTTCTGTGTCACGTGAAGAAATTAGATCATAGAATGAGCAATTACATATTAGCTATTATGTGACCTATCAGGATAATTTTAAGTATACTTTTCTTTAATTCACATTTATTGGTGTAAGTAGAGGATATGTTTGCTTTGGAGTGTGTGAAATAACTATTATGTCCAATTTTTATCTTTTCAGTTGTGGAGTTTTTCATTTGTATATGCTAAAACATCTTAACATTTTAAAGGAAATCAGAGCAACAGAGAAATATTCATTGGTTGTTAAAGTGAAGGTACCATTTACTAGAACATGAATGACTAAATTTTGGTTAAAAAATTAAATTCATTGTTGTAATTTTTGTTTGCATAGAGAGATTATCGTAATTTAAGAAATAATTATCAAAATATGCAGCCTATTTAACATCAATGTTAATTATTTGAGATTAAATGTCTTCCTCCCATTGTGTGAATTTTCATCCTGTAGGATGATATTGGGAAGGTCTAAGATCCTATAAGATGTTATTGTTATGGGTTCTGAAGAATTTGCTGCCCTTATTTTTGCAATTTATTGTATAGTAACCTTGGATCTTGGGTGCTGTTTAACAACATTCATGCTTCATGCATCTTGTTAAACTGAAAGGATGATGGGCTTCTGTATGATGTGTTTGCAAATGAACCTTTTTTTTTTTTTTTGTGTGTGGCACAGAGTTAGTGATGATTTCGGAGACCAAATTACATGCTGCATCTTCTTGAGGCTCTAGTTTTCATTCATTATTTGCTAAAATATTTATAAATTTAGAAAATATAAATAAATATATTATATACAGTACAAAGTCTTTAATCCGGACTCGTCGGGACTTCGGCGATTCCAGATTAGGGGTTTTCTGGATTATAGATCATCAATTTAAATCTGGTAAGATGGCATGCAGAAATTATAAAATTAAAAATATGAAACCATAATTTATGAAATAAAGAGCAATTAGGATCTAAAGGGTATCAAAATTTACAAAAAAAAAAAAAAAAAAAAGCTTAACATTTATTTGTTTACTTTATTAAGCATTTCTTTCAATGCAAGGCAAAGATTTCTTTGCCTTCGGCCTTTAAAGAAATTATGTTTTAGTTCTGGTTTCATCAACAGATGGCACTACTAGCTTATTTTCTGTCCAGGCTTTCTTATCTTATGTGATCATTATATCCTATCTCGTTCATTTGCGCTTTTGCAGCTGATGATGGTGGTTTGGTAAAACCATCGAAACTAGTCCTGTGGAAATAATAAAATATAACGCTGATTTTTGTTGTTTGACTCCTAAATTAGTATTCGATATAATATAATTATACTTTTTTAAGCACTAACTAAACCACACGGGTAATTACTATAAACTGCACAACTTCCTTTAAACAATAGCATTAATTGTATAGTTAAATTTACTTGTTATTTTAACTAAAACAACTAAACATTAACTAAAACAATGGCATAAATTGTGCTGCATAGTTAAATTTACTTGTTATTTTATGTGATTTCTGGAATATTTTATTGTTTTTATTTTTTATTTGTGCGCAATTATCTGGATTTTTTGTTTTTGTAAAAAGTGAAATATTTAATTAGAATTTAAATTTTACTATAATTTATAATAGTAACACTTAGCTGAGCAATTTCAGCTTAGGCCCATATCCACTATAATAGTCATTATACCTGAAAAAATAACATTACAAATTTCACTGACTTTTCCTAGTTTTTATTTCTGTACCACAGTCAAATATTGTATTTAACTATGTAGCTTATCTTTCATTCTAATATTCATATCAGAATCAAATGAATTCTAATTAGAATCATACTCTCATCATATATTCACTTGCATATTTTTTTCTTAAAATATATCCTAAAATGTTTATAATCTGGGGGCCTTATTTTTGAAGAAGTGCAGTATTTTTCCCATTCTATGCATTTTGTGGGTCAATTTTTATATAATCAGTAATTTGTTTTTATATACTGTAATTCTACTGTGTAGATCATAGTTCTCCTGTGTCGACGTTATAATCCAGTGGAAGCCTATGTTGGTATTGAATATAAAAAAAATTAGGGGTTTTATGCTTTTATAACTTTGAACTTAAAACGACTGTGGTGCTGGACAAAAACTATATATATATATATATATATATATACACACATAGTCATAAAAACATCATAATTCATATCGCACATTTATCATATTTATCAATCAATCGTATAGCGGTAGTAAATATAAAATCATATAGTGGTATAAATATAAAATCAATCATATAGTGGTAGTAAATATAAAATCGTATAGTGGTAGTAAAATAAGTTAAATTTTAGGTTCGCATTGTGAGTAACCTATGCAAAGGAAAAATCAATAACCTAAATTGAATAAAACTCTATGCTTCTTAAAAAACCTCTCGGCTCAAACAAATGGAGGGCATGACAGACCACAGTAAATTACACACAAGATAAATACATAAATGCAATTAAATTTTAAACACACATTTATTAAATTCTTGAATATAATAATATTATTAGTAAATACTCAGGTAACTGATCAGTGTTCCCTACCACATATTTTTACTATGAAAATATAAGTTCAAATTTCACTGAACAAGTTTCAGCTTACAATAATTAAAAAGTTTAAATTAATAATTAAATTTTTTTTCACAAATTAAGAAGGTGTAACATATTTTAATTCTCCAAATAAACTGGTCATTCCCTTAAAATTTCTAATCACTTCTTAGTATTACCAGCTAGCAATATTTAATTTATATAAGTAATACAAATTTATGTATGTGGATAAATCATTATTAACTAGACCATCATGGCATTTGGGAAGACAGAGAAAAGAGAGAAAATAATCTTAAAATTTTTTCACTTACAGACGGAAGACAGTTTTTCCGGATTGAAGGATCTTTAGTGTCCAATCCACTGTGAAATGAGCAAAGACAAATGATTTTTTTCCCCCAAACACTTTCAGACACGTCCATTGATTTCACGAACACGGGGAGCATGATACCTCCTTCTGTAATAAATCTGTATCTCATGACAAATTCCTTCAGCTGGAATGTCTCAAACATGACTATTCAAGTTCTCCAAAATACACGATGAAACGGAGAAATCAAATTTTGCCTTGCAAATTTTGCTTTCTCCGTTCGAATAAGTTCTCATCAGCGGGAAAGCCGCAAGAAACCTCACCTCAGACCGAGGCACAAGCCCCCTGCAGGAGGTCAAGCCCCACAGAACTTTGTCTTTTACTGTTTACATCTTCACAACTCGGCCCACTAGCAGCCGAGCGGTAAAGTTGCTGAACACTGGTAGTTTGGTCCGAGGTTCGAATCCCGTGAACGGGCTGGCTGCATGGCTGTTTTCGTTGTTTTCCCCATGTGTAACGTGTATACGAACCAGTTTCCCTTAGAAAGTCCTTCACGAAGGCATCCCTCCCCTTAGGCAGTTAGCCCTAGTGTGCTTTGCCCTAATTAAATACACCACCACAACACACCACACCACATCTTCACAACTCAAATCTGTCTCCAAATCCGACTCAATAGCCAGGCTCGCAAGAGCAAGACTTGCAAGGGGTCAAGCCCCCACTCTTTTCTCCTTTTTCTTTCTCTTAGCTTGAAAATCAGAATCAGAATGACTCTAATAAGGTGCAAACCTCCCAGGAAATCTCTTTCTCCACCTCTGTAAGCTCATAGGCCTACAAAAAATCATCAAATTAAATCTTACCAAGGCCAGAATTTTACTTTATCTAAACTGAGAAAATGACACTCCCATGACGAATCAAAAACCAGAAAAATCTCACAATGAGCCAACATCTGTACTCAGGAAAAACAGAGTAACTGAAGTGGACCCCCCAAATAATAAGCGGGAACTAAGCTTTACGAGAATCCAATTACCTAAGCTCACAACTACCCCACTGTCTGGAAGTTAGCAAAATTGCAA